TTTTATTTATTTTATTTTTAAGTGACTTATAGTGTTACCCATATCAGAACACTCAAGGCAATGTACAAAGTTAAAACAACAATATAGGCCTCTCATCAGCACTTTTGGACAATTGCGACGTTTCCCAATGTACTTGCAGGATCCATCAATACTGATGGCCAGCTTACCTTACAAGTCCCCAATGTATCTTCTATGTCACAATTTTAAGTTTCTTGCCACTATTAGAGGGCCCTTTCTACAGAACTGGCCCTAATTATAGTTTGCTTGGCAGATTAATACATGTTATCGATATGATCTTTATGCTTTGAAATGTTCTCTTACTACAGAATGTAGTATAGCAAAATCTTTCCCAATAAAGGGTGCCAGTTTGACTTACATTCTCACCAGAGCCCTGGAAATGTTTGCTTGAAGTATATATATCATTCATTTTGCTCCTAAAGTGGGTCATGGAAACCTAGCTTTGCTGACTGTGATAAAGGTTCTTACCATATGTTTCACTGGGATTTACTGAAGTGAAAGATATAAAACTTTAATTTCTTATCCCTTTGATTTCTTCAACAATTGAATCTGTTAACATGAAACAAATCTTTGAAGTGTTTACATTAAAGTTATATTTTAAAGTTGAGATTAGATTTCTAAAGCTTAATAATATACTACAAAGTTGCTTGTTGGGGATTAATGTACAATGTTTCCTAGCAGTCTGAAAAAAAGGTGATAAGACCAACAGCAAAATGCTTGTTGCTGTTAGAAAGGTAAGTAGATAGATTTCCTGTAGAAAACACACTGGTGACAAATTTTGTCCACAAAAATAATCCAGTGTGCCTCAAATGACAATAATTCATCAACCAAAGAAAAATTCAATATTAAAATAAGTGAACAACAACATTAAAGCATTTTTTTCTGAATAGTTGTTATATTTAACAATGAGTTAAATTTATTTGTCAGCTTTGTATAATATTAACAAAATCTGGTAATCTGGTAAACCTTTCAGACACTATTATTACTACACACACAAATTAATTTATAACATCTACATAGACCGCTAACATGCTTCTTTTTTAAGCTATGAATACACACACACACACACTTTAAGAAATCATAGTGTAAATTGAGATTCAGAAGCATAATAATTAATGCTATAAACAATTTCTTGGAGCCTTAGACTCAGAACTAAGTGTGGATTTAATCTGACTAATTATAACTTCCATTTTACCTCACAAACAACATGCATCTTCTGTCAGTCCCTTGACAACAAAGGAAATCTTCCTAGACTAAATGACAATCAGATATTTTAACATACAAATTGTAAGTTAACCAGATCAAATGGCAATCATTTGTAAAGTTTGAATTAAACATTATATTTAGCATATTTGTTATAAGCCTAAAAGCACATCTAATAAAGTATTATAAAGCCCTGTTCTTCACCCACTGTCATGGATGAGAAGACCACATTGGATGCACCCCTACTGTTTCATAACTTTGACCACCATTTTTTTATTACACTTACACATTATCAGTGAAAGTATACATTGATGCTATATTTATATAATTTAGTTTAATCACAAAAGAAAATATAGCCCTAACAAGTGCTCCCAAGAAATTCATTCATCAAAACATAAAATGATGAGTCATTAGTGGTTTGTAGTTCTATTGTTTGATGAGGTCTGATGAGAAAAAGAATTTGTCTTGTGTGAAAAACACACAACTTCTAGGGATGATATATGTGTATTTCTCCAAAGTGTCAGTGGTTTCAGAGGTAGTAATGGATAAAAAATACATTATCAAAATGAATATTAGAAGTTAGCTTTAATCTTTAATTGATACTTTTTTAAAGATATCTCATGAATACATTTCTCTATCTCATATTTTACTTTTTGTTTTTTAAAGGCTCAAAAATCATTTCACCTTATTTGTTTGCTTACTGGTTGCATTTATATCCCACTTGCTCT